GATGAAATGACTAAGGAAATTGATTTTGATCAAATCCTTAAAAAGCAAGTTTGTATGTATAAAATAATAAAATAATTACATTACATTCAAAGTGTTACTTCTTATGGCATATTACTCATTAAGAATGATATTTTAATGTCATGATTAATAGTATGACTTTCCGATAAGTTATTTATGAAAGATCTTATTTAGACATTTTATAGATCTCATACTCTATGGAGATAGAGAAAGAGATACACATGATCATCACAATCTACTTATAAGGATAAAATCCATAGAATGTTCATCTTACAAGATTTTAATAAATAATTGGTTCCTATAAGTCATGGATTTTCTCTCTCTAAGGAAATGTATCCTTAAATTTTAAAGGAGATTGAGCTTTTTAGAAACATTTGATCTTTTGAGTAAAATTTTAATCCAAACCTAATGATAGAAAGTCTATTTTGGGTTATATTTATATAATTAATAATAATAGAAGAATATGTAGTCATATGAAACCACTAAAGAAGGAATATGGATAAATAAGTTTCTCCATAAGTTTAATTATGTTCCTTATAATATATTTCTTATTCATTATTATTTGATAACAATGGAGTTGTTGCAAAAAGTAGAAAAGAAATGTCATCTTCTTAAAAGTTAACAAGAAGAAACATATAGATGTTTAGAAAATGACTAAGCATATAGCATTTGATAACCTTGTAAAAAAAAACCATCGCCATAAAATATTTTTGACAGATGGAAGTTAATATTATATTTGATTGGATGTTAGATCAAGTGGGAGATTGCTAGAATAGTAATAATATGCCATTGAACATCCAATATATTTTATGTAATCTTTTTGAATATTAATAAATATTTTATTGTTGCACATATAATTTGGGTATTATTTCTATAATTGTTATAGTATCCTTAAAAATTCTTTTTGTTAGATCACGCACTGTGATGTGTCACTTGCTTGGAGATGTGATCTAACTTAGAGATTTCTTAAACTGATGTTTAATCTATAACTAATAAATGATAACTTAGTTATACCAAGTTATATGCATTACACCGACATGTGAGATGTAGTGATGGGTCTCAACCACCGGGAATAAAAATTTTCCGGATGTATGTCGTAAGCACACATTATGATGTGTGTAGCACTAGACCGTATTTGAATTTTCTAGGATAAGTCACCTAGGAGAGAGAATTCAAATTGTTACATGGTCCCTTTGACTTGATGATATTGTCATTTTCGATTTAATATTTTAGTATGCGTTAATGTAATGGTAAGCTTGTTTAGCAAGTGTTACACAACTTAAAATGTTGGGTTGCTAGATTTTATTTAGGGAAATGATGAATATCTAGATAGGATCGAGTATGCTCATTATGATGAGTTAATTTATCATGCATTCCCATAAAGTTATAAAATTCCCGTCGACGGGTAGTTTAAAAAATATTTTTCAAAATTTATTTTCTTATAAAAATAAAATATTTTGATGTTTCAAAATGATTTTTATTTATGTTCATGAAAATTGTAATTTAGGCATGAGCAAGTAGGTGAATTGGCCTGCTCAAAAGAGTTGCCTAAAATAAATAATATTGGATTGGATTGAATGTAAGATATTGTTTTAAAATAATTAATCTCATATTATGAAAGAGCTTTTATGAACAATTGGTCGGATATGGATTTGACTGTTAAATTAAAATTATTAATTTAATTAATAATTGGTTCTCGATATTAGACCCAATTGGTCTCACTAATGTCATTAGAAGAGGTATACATGTAATACAATTCTATGTCTATCATTAATTGTTATGGAAACAATGTTCTATCTTTAATTATTATGGAAAAAAATATTCTATCTTTAATTGTTATAAAAAAGTTTTGAACAATTAATAACTGTTTGAAATTAAAATCTATAAGGCAAGTTTAATCCTATATATAGGGTTCATATGTAGTCTTATGAGGGGTACAGAGTAACAGAAGAGAAATAAAAATCTGAGAACCTATCTCACAGTATTGCTCCTCTTCGATAACGGATGAATTTCAATTAGAGACTTTTTTCTCTTGAGAAAGCTATTTCAGATTGATCTTCAGACAGATTATTAAAAAATTCGAAAAGTGTTTCAGGTATTCTTCTAATTTTGATTAATAGTCATAATATGCATATTCCGCCTCGTTGTATGTCATGTTTTCAACAATAGATCCATCAACTATGATCCTATAAATACTCGTGATCATAACTCATCCTTTGTTTTAAATATCCCCGATTTGCCGATATATCGACCAATATATTCTTTTATAAGGTTTGCCACAAAATGATATGCTCTTAATATCATTTGCCGCTTCTTGACATTTTTTGGGTGATGTATACTCGATATGGCCGAGATATCAGTCGATATATGTTGGTCGATCTATCCTTTTATATGGCTAGTCACAAGACAATATAGTTCTGCAAAATTTCATTAATTTTTTAAGCAAAAGTTCCTGCAATGTCAAATTTGTCTTAGAAAATTCTAGTAGGCTTTTTTCCGTAAGTGGGTATCTACAATTGATTAGTAATCCTAAATATGTATTATTTACATTTTTTATGTTTAGATTTTATTAAGCTTGTTTAGATTTCATTTTAGGGCATTATATCATATATGCATATCATTAAGTTTGTTTAGATTTAATTTTAGAGCATTATATCATATATGCACATCATTCAATATGGCACTCCGATTTTACTACATATCCACGATATTTCTCTAAATCCGCAACTCAATATGGATTTTAGTTATCTGATATTTCCCTGATATCTGCAATCCGAAATGGATTTTGGCAACCTGATATTTACTACTTAATTGTCTCTTCTACATGTGTGACGACTTAGCTCATGTTTTTCTATATAAGCAGGTTTTGAAGAGTGGTTTTATTTTTATTTTATCTTAAGGGGCAGTTTGTGAAGGGTGAACTGTTCTGTGTGAGATAAAAGAAGGGATAATTTCAATGCCAATGCTTCTTAAATACTCTTGGATATACAAAGAAATAAGACATATTGCTTTCAGTCTATTAGCTCATCACAATGGAAATGTGGAAAGAAGGCTACTAGAATAAGCTAGGCCTATTAAGGACTGGTAAAGACTTCAAATCACATTGACCGAAGAGGATTCACATTGCTTTACGTCATGAACCCAGGTTAGCAAACCCACTCTCTAGTTTCTATCCATATCACCAATGTTGACCGTGCGGGAGAATGTGAGAGACACCGAACTCGACAAAACGCTTATTCTACCATGGATTCTGAAGATAGAAGATTCGACATTTTAGTAAGAAACTAGATAAACATCTACACATTCTAGGAAGTGTGCCTATATAGCTCTCAAATTAGTTCCTGCTTTCATCAGATCGAGATTTGTTTCCAGTCTTGGATATTTTGATTTGTTTGTTACAGTACGGAAAAAGAACAAGAGGAGGTAAAATGAGAAGAAGGTTCTTGAACGTAAAACAGTGTGCTTCAGTTTACATTTTAATCTCATCATCGCATAGACGAAAAGAGCTCAAAATAAATGCTTCTCATACTCCAAAAAAGAAGGAAAGCTCAAAACAGGATGTTTCTCACATCTCAAAATAAGGTTTACAAGCACTGATAGACTATTCACGGTGTTTCTTTGATACTTGAGTAATTGCATTTATATCGTTGTCTATCCCATGTATTACTCTTGATTGTTTATGAACAATTAAACCAGCAGGATGCAAATAATATTAACAATCATTAGAACATATAAAATTATATAAAAAATATATAAGATTGCTACATCTTTCTGTTTCATTTAGTGTTTTGTGACTTCTATTGCAACTTGTAAGGAATCACTGGGTCCCACTATCAAGTTGGTGTCACCTGTTAGATTTTTGTGGTATCATAGCTGCACTACTTGAGGCGAATTGCATTAATCCAAGTATAGCATAGGATACAGTATGATGATTATGTAAAAAATGTAACTAAAAGGTTAGTGGATATATCCTTTAATTAAAAGTAGACAAATACTATCCCGAAAAAAGAATAGATAAATTCAGCTTGGGAAGACAAAAGAAGCATGACAAAGGGAAACCTGAAACCGATACTAGGCGATACTAGGCAGATCAGGATGACTGTAGTCCCAACACAAGTATTTCCATGCAGAATTACACACGAGAATTCTTACAACACATTCCTTTCAAGGGAAGATTTTTCAAGTTCGTGTTCTGTTAAGGATTCATCTCTTCAAGTTATGCATTACTAGTTTCATTCATATGCTAGTTTATCTTCATCTTCCATCATATGAAAGCATTGAGTGAGAAGAGAGATTGGATTAACATTTGTATCCTATTAAGCTTATGCTTTGTGCGCTTTGTCTTTCTTCTTTCTATTTATTTCCTCTTCCTCGCTGTTCCTTTTCTTCTGACCACAGTTATGAACTGCAGGTAAACTTCCACTGAAACCCTTAAAACTCATTCCCTTTTCTCCGCTTCCTTTGCTAGCTTTATTCATAAAAAAAGCTAAGGTCATACTATACTACTAATTTTCCCCTCTAAAATGCCCCAAATCCCTCCCTCGAGGTGTATTTAAATTTTAAATTTCATCAGTCCTGGTGTCAGAATCTCCTTCGTCCTTTGCTCTCGGTTCTTGTGGAACTAAACTTGATAGTTAGGCCAACCCACAATCAACCCCAGCTTACAAATATATACATAACAATCTACATTGCTACTATATACATTGCAGCCAGGACAAATGATATAACAATCTACTGAATCCAACTATCTCGCTAAGTCAAACATTCATGTAAAGCAAGTAAGAAAAAAACCTTGGTCAGTTCCTAAGATATATGTTGATAAAAAACGTAAAGAAAATTTACGAGAGCGGTAATTAAGTACCTGTCATGAAAGATTAATAATAATATTTACAAAAGACAGTTGTGGATATGTGAAATGGAATTTGAATTGGTGATTGTTATAGGTTGAACTGTGTCTTGAAGTATTATTATCTATGACTAACCTTCATAAAATGACTTCTTGAGTTCTTGCACCACCTCATTTTTCATGACCGCATCCCATACAGCTGGATCCGTTGATAATGCGCTAACCATTCTCTGCAAGCAAAAAGGCAAAAACTATTCAGTAAACAAAACATCCACCATCCATGTATGAACACATTCAAATTTACCTCAGTAGTATTAACCATGTTCAAAAAATATTTGAGTACTGTTATGTAATGAACCAATGTTCCAACTTCAAGAACATAGTAGCACATAGTAGATCTGTGACTTAAAGGAAAGAGGTTATTTCAATATTTTGTCAAAGCTATATGTATTGTCTCTTATCACTCAGTGGTAACTTACTTTTTCTGTCACTTCATTGTGATCTTTTTAGTGTTTATATCTTGAAATGGTAGCAAAAAGACATGGAAGACAAGAAAATATGACAACAGATCGGATCCATAGATCTCAACAATCAACGCGTATTGTCCGATCTTGATGGATAGCCATTTGAAACAGGCTATAGAAGAGACGAGAAGCTATTGGACCCTTGCTTTATTCCAAATGAACTAAATGCCACAGATGGTTTTTAATTTTAGCATAAGAACAGTTGCATATCAACCTATACTTTGATAAGGTATGCAATGGCAAGCATTACATGTATAGAGCAAAGCTAAATTGGTTTCTATATTTTTCTTCATTTTCCTATCTTAGAATCTTCTTTTTATTTTTATTAACTGTTTATTTATTTATTTATTTATTTCAGTTTTATTGTTTGGTGGGAATGAGTAGATAGAACAAAATTTTAAAATAAACCCATTTATATTTTTAATTGTCAAAATAGACCCACTTCAGTTTTATTTATCAAAACCGACCCATTTTGTGGCCACGTCAGCATGTCGGCTCTAAATAGTCGGGGTTGACAACCCCGACTACTTAGATATGTACAAGCTAAATTAGTCGGGGTTGGCAACCCCGACTAATTTAGGGTCAAATCTAATTGGTCGGGGTTGGCAACCCCGACCATTTAGTAGAGGAAAAATTCCCTACGACAAAAATGGTCGGGGTTGGCAACGCCTACCATTTTTTATCCAAGAAGGTTTTTTGAAAACAATCCAAGAAGGTTTTGCTGTTATCCAAGTTTCCTTTTCTATTTAGCATTGCATTTTGATTCTATACAGACTACACTAACATAATCTGAATATTTTCTCTTTTCTTGCTTGCTTCAAATTTTAGTGGGTTCCTGAATTGAGGCATTATGCACCAAATGTACCTATCGTGCTCGTAGGAACTAAGCTCGGTAAGTACATTACAAATGAAACTAAACAATATTACATTTAACATTTGCTAGTAGACATTTTAATTTGCTCGGTATGTTGTAGATTTTGATTTTATATTTTAGCATATACAAAACTAGTTAAAATGTTGGTGCAGATTTACGCGATGATAAGCAGTTCTTCATTGACCATCCTGGCGCTGCACCAATAACAACATCACAGGCAAGTTATTTTCTGGACAAAAAATCTGGGTAGTTACTTAAAATTTTTCCTCTACTAAATGGTAGGGGTTGCCAACCCCGACTGTTTTTGTCGTAGGAAATTTTTCCTCTACTAAATGGTCGGGGTTGCCAACCCCGACCAATTAGATATGGTCCTAAATTAGTCGGGATTGCCAACCCCGACCAATTAGATATGGTCCTAAATTAGTCGGGATTGCCAACCCCGACTATTTAGCTTGTACATAGCTAAATAGTCAGGGTTGACAACCCCGACTATTTAGAGGCGACATTAAAAAAACCAACCCATTTCGTGGCCATGCTGCTGACGTGGCCACAAAATGGGTCGGTTTTGATAAATAAAACGGAAGTGGGTCTATTTTGACAATTAAAAATATAAATGAGTTTATTTTGAAAATTTGTTCTGAGTAGATATTATGCATACACTTTTCCAAATAAAGAGATATTATCAGTAATAAATCAACAGGATGCATTTTTCAGAAACTACATTAAAAGAATGGTAATCGATCACTCAAGTAGTAAAATATCCACCATTATCACCTTGAAGGGTGGATTTGTTTGGAACAAATGAACTGCATCAAGAATGTGCTCTTTTCCAGAATATTGAGAAGATCTCGAGTTATAAAGGTGCAGTGCTGGCTCAATCCAATCTGATTCTGATTCGCTTGAGCAGTCTCTGGATATCACTTCTGTTGAACTGATCACTTCATCCACCACTTCCCCATCCACAGAAGAAGGGTATTTAACTTCAGCAACCTGAGTGGATGTAATCGGAACAAATATCCTAAAAAAAAGGAAAATATATTTCATGAAACTGCGAAGGTCAACCAGCACCACAAGAAAGCTATGCAGAAGAGGGAAAACTACATCATTCTCCAATGCTGAAATTCAACTAATTTGGTGTAGATGTTATGTGATGTCTCGGTTATCAGTAAAATGGACCTTATCACATTTAAGCCAATACATTGACAGCCTCTCCCGCAGAATGCAAGATGTTTATAGAGTCACTACTGCTTTTCATAGGACATCATGGTCTCTTCTTTCCTCTTTCTGCTCATGATATGTATCCTCCTATCACATCATCTAGTCATCTGTTAACCTCAAAAAAAATCTTCTAGTACCTTCCAACAACTGTACATGTGCTGGATATAAATGTCTGCTTAGGCGCTAAGGTCGCATGTTCAAGATGCACCTACAGGAATCTGTGTATCAAGTTCTGTGAAGTTCATTAAGAAAGCGGCTACTTAAAGTTTCTCGGTAAAGATAAAGGGGAGGTTGATAACTTATTGCTGGTAAGATTAAGTAAAGATTAAACCATTTTGGGAAACACATGCAGAATTGAATATTGAACTGCAAAAGGATAGGACATCTAATCTAAAAATCAATAGAAATATTGCTGACATAAAAAAATTAAAGATATGTAAAGGAATCTTAAGAGATGCAAAACAATATCCAATCGGATCAAGCATGTTAGCTGAACAAACTAGTAGATAAATCCCACACTCTCCCTCACCTTAAAGACCCTCACTCTGTTCCCAAAAATGGGAGAACTTCTTCTAGACACAATGACCACCTGCTTTCACCCTAGATCTTTCACAATATTGTATCACAAGAAAGGCTCTATTGATAATCCAGGTTGATTTTTTCCTTAATTGGGCTAGGAATGCTATTGCAAATAGAGTAACTGACCAACCGCCAACTCGAAGAGAAAACCTAAAGGTCATCCAGTCCCACTTCCACTACCACATGGAGGACTGCCATTGAAAATACCATAGGAGTTTATCTGAGAGTATAATAGTTGAACATGAAAAATTAATAGGTAGAGACAAATTCAGGTGTGAAACACCAAAAGGTCTTGATGTGTATATTGCCATGTATATCCTCAATCCAGCTAAAACAGGCCACCCAAGAACTCAATTCATATAGTCGTGAAAATTTTTAGCAATATCAGTATATTCAATTAATTTTTCATCTGCTATACACCATCCTAGGCATCACATCTCAAGAAGATATGTGAGTGCCTGACCCAACAGCCAATGACCACCACTAAGAAACCACTTCTCTCAAAAGTTTAAACTAAATGACATGACGAGCCTCAAGTCAGAAGGGTGAACCACCATTTTTTTATGGGAATATGACTTTGTTCTTCCCAAGGTTTTAAATGTCGGATGTCGGGTTCATATCGGATGACTGAAATCCATATCGGATAGCGGAAATCGGGGATATATCGGGGGACATTGACTAAATATCGGATTGTCATATCGGGTAGTGCGCATATGTATAATATCATGTCCTAAATGTAATCTAAACATTCATAAATTCAATATAAGCATACTTTATAAATTCTATAGACTAAACATATAAAAAAGTAAATAATATATGAATTTGGATTCATAAATTCTTTCTATCGGGTTCATAAGAAACCCTTAAACATGAGAACGGGTCAAACGGGTTTGGGTATTTATCACTAAATCCAAACCCGATAACAAAAAACAGATCTTAAAAAAAAGTACCATATCAGTCGATTTTTTAAAGCTAAAAAATAGACCGATATGCCCGAAATGACCCTGATATTTCCGATTTGGCCCTGAAAACCGACATACGAGTTGAAAATGCCTATATCGTGTCGGTCAAACCCTCAAACCGATATGTCGGCCGACATGTCGGGTGATATTTAAAACCTTGGTTCTTCCCCCCTCCCCTTTTTGATCCATTAGAGATGTTTGGTGGTAAAAGCTGATGAAACGAAAATTGACTAGGCTAATCTATTTAGACTCAGTTCGTCAGTTGACTCAAAAATGATAAACTGTCATGAGTCCGAGCATATTTAGGCCGTACGTTTGGCTCAATCCAAATCCAAGTTTTAGACTTCCTATCTTATATGCCTGCTACAAATTTATGTTCTAAGTGTCAGCCAGCAGCCTTTTTTGACAATAAAATATCGGTGGCCGAAATGTTTGATTTTGAAAAAGTGGGTGAGGCCCCACAAACCAAAATCAAAGTTTTCGGCACCGAAAGCTGAGGAGCTTGAAATTAATAGGATGACGGGTCCCACCATTAATAAAATTTTATTAGTTAATAGTATTTTCCAAACACTATAAATAGGGTCACAACTCTTTAGGAAAAACTCAGAGTAAGAGAGAAAACATAGAGAGAGTTTGTAAGAAATCTTGAAGTATCTTGATCAAGAGAGGGTGTTCTCTTTGATCCTTTTCTTTTGGAGTATAAAGAAATCGGGCGTCGTCATTGCACCTTGAAGTAGCTCTGTAAGAATGAACCACATTATATTTGTGAGTACCGTGATTGAATTTGTGTCTGCTTAGGTGTGTTTTTGCGTCTCCGTTTGAGCCGTTCTTGTTGGTGTGTATCCTAATAACTGGTATCAGAGCCTGACTTAGAGTATATATATCTGCTTATCGTATGTTCTGTAGCTGCCACTAAAAGTGGATCCTCCACATCAGAAAATAAGTTAGATTATCATTTACTCTTTAAAGGCACTGGACACTATTCACGAGTATGGTACTATTCATAAGTACTATTACTATTCACAAATACGGTTCAAGAAAAGACGAAAAATTTCACCATGGGATCTACAGTTGAAAACAATAGGCTTTGAATTAAGAAATTCGGCGGCTAAAATTTTTAGGTATTGGAGGATGCAGATAGAAGATTATTTGTACCAGAATGATCTCTTCCTACCCGTCCAATGAGTGGAGGGGAAACCTGAGAAGATGGACGACGATAAGTGAAATGTGCTCGATCGTAAAGCACTTGCCACCATCAAGCTCAACCTTCACCAGCATGTGATTTACAACGTCTCGCAAGCGACCACCACCAAGGAGTTGATGGAGGCATTGGAGGCGCTGTATGAGAAGCCGTCTGCTTCAAATAATGTGTACCTGATGAAGAAGCTATTTAATCTAAAGATGCAGTAATGAGCTCGCGTGACAGACTTCTTGAACTAATTTTAGGTTGTGGTGCAACAGCTTGCTGTAGTGGATTTCAAGTTCGATAATGAGATCCAAGCTCTTCTGTTACTTTCTTGTCTACCAGATTCGTAGGAGAATTTGGTGATGACGGTGAGCAACACCAATGATAATGTCAAGATGAAGCTCGACACGGTGATTGGGACAATTCTGGATGAAGAATCTCGCTGCAAAGTCTTAGGAGCTGAGGCCTCTAGCAGTAGGAGTGCTCTGCATGTCGAGGCACGAAGGCGTGCGCAAAAGAAGGGTAGGGGACGACGAGACCGATCAAAGTCCAGAGGGAGGTCTAAAGGGCCGAACCCGAATGGTTACGGTAAAAAGAAGTGCTTCAGATATGAAAAGCAGGGTCACTTTGCACGGGACTGCAGAGTTTCTGTTCCAACATCAGCAGGGGATGATCAGGCTGACGGTACAACCAATCTCATGCACGAAACAGATTCGGATGCGTTTCTCCTATCCCTAGAAGACAAAAGCGATGCGCGATCAACTCCGACGCATCTTTCCTTGCAACCTCACAACAAAAGTTATTTTCATCGTTCGTGAAGGACTTGGGGATAGTCTATCTTGGCGATGATCAACCTTGTAAGGTTTTCGGGAAGAAAAATTGTCAAGATGGAGGGCGGAACCACCTTGACGCTGAACGACGTTCGGCATATACTGGATCTCAGGTGAAATCTTATATCAATCAGACAACTAACTGACTTCGGACAGAGTATCCTTCGAGCAGAGAAGCTGGAAGGTGTCCAAGGGTGCCTTGATGGTGGCACACGACAAACGTGAGAGATCTCTCTACATCGTCAATGTAAAGATCGACCGCTTGCTTGCCACAGGACAAGCATCATCATCATCCGTCGACTGCATGACTTGGCATCGACGACTTGGCCACATGAGCGAGAAGGGGATGCAAATTATGGCCACAGGAGAGAGGCATACGGATCCGAGCAAAATCGATCTGACTTTCTGTGATGATTGTATCCTAAGCAAACAGAAGAAGATGAGCTTCAACAAGACCGGACTGGCTCCAAAACTGCAGAAATTAGAGTTGGTGCACACCGAAGTGTGGGGACCTACGCAAGTCCTATTTGTTGGCAACTTTTTTTACTGTCACTTTTATTGATGATGCTACTAGAACACTATGGGTGTTCTTCTTGAAGCACAAGTCAGATATTTTTCTCACCTTCAAGAAGTGGTTTGCCTGTGTGGAGAACGAAACAGGAAATAAGGTGAAGTGCCTAAAGTCTAATAATGGAGGCGAGTATTACAGTCAGGAGTTCGAGAATTTCTGTTCGTCCCATGGGATTAGGAGACTGAAGACCGTCCTAGGCACACCTCAACACAAAGGAGTAGCGGAGCATATGAATCACACTATCTTAGAACAAGCCAGAAGTATGAGGATCCACTCCGGATTGTCCAAGAGTTTTTGGGCCAAAACTGTCAATACTGTTGCATACTTGATCAATCGCGGGCCATCTACGGCTCTCAGTTATGGGATACCTGAAAAGTTTTGGACCGAAAAATAGTTGAAGCTAGAGCACTTACGAGTATTTGGTTGTGACGCCTATGTCATGACCAATCCTGCAGACATGTCAAAGCTTGATCCAAAGTTAAAAAAGTTCTCTTTCATCAGCTATGGAGGAGATGAGTATGAGTATCGTTTCTGGGATCACGATGCGCGCAAGGTGGTGCGCAGTCGTGACGTCGTGTTCCATGAGAATCCGGTGTATAAGACTAAAGAAGTGAGTGGGAGTTATCTATCTCCTCCTCTTTTCCCAGATACTGCTGACAGTGAGGACGGCAGTGAGATACCAATTATCATAGAAGACGTAGACTAAGAGAACGTGCCACATGCACAGCAGCAGAATCCAGCAGAGTTGCCGATCGCAATTTGCAAAGCTCCAAGAAATCCAAGAGTGCCAAAGAGGTACATTTCCACCATGAATTATCTTCTCCTGACTGAGAGTAGTGAGCCAAAGAGCTATGAGGAGGTACAGCAGACTGGCAAAGCTCGGAGTAAGTGGGAGTCTGTCATGGAGGAAAAAATAAAATTCTTGATGAAGAATGGGACTTGGGAGCTCGTAAAGCTTCTAAGAAGGCGAAAAGCTCTTCACAATCGGTGGATTTATCGGGTCAAGGATGAAGCCGATAGACGAAGACGCTACAAGGCGAGACTTGTAGTGAAGGCCTATGAGCAGAAAGCAGGGATAGTCTATTCTAACGTTTTCGCTCCCGTCGTCAAGTTAACCACGATCCAGAGTGTGCTGAGCATTGTGGCAATTCGAGATCTCCATCTAAAGCAGACGGATGTGAAGACAACATTCTTTCATGGAGATTTAGAAAAAGAGATCTATATGTATCAACCAGTGGGCTTCGAGGAACGAGGCAGGGAGGGCCTCATGTGTCGCCTGTGCAAGAGCTTGTATGGCCTGAAACAAGCTTCGCGACAGTGGTACATGAAGTTCGAAAACTTTATGGAGGAGAACGATTTTCTTAAATTAGACATAGATCACTGCTGCTTCATCAAGAGATATGACGAAACATATATAATACTCTTGATTTATGTTGATGACATGTTGATTGCTGGGCTCGACTTGGCCCGTATTGAAGAACTCAATGGGCGTCTCTCCGAGTGCTTCGAGATAAAGGGTCTGGGTCCAGCAAACCAAATTTTTAGGATGACGATCATTAGAGACAGATCAACACGGAGGCTGAGATTGTCTCAAAAGGCCTACATTGAGAAGATTATTAAAAAGTTTGGCATGAAGAAAGCTAAATCGATGGACTCGCCGTTTGCGAGCCATTTCAAGTTATCGAAGACCCAAACACCAGAGACTGAAGAGCATGAGTTCATGACTAACATAACATATGCATCTGCCATCGGGAGTTTGATGTATGCGATGGTGTGCAATAGGCCAGATATTGCACAAGTGGGAGTTGTGAGCCGCTTTATGAGCAATCCGGGGACGCAGCACTGAGGTGCGATCAAGTGGCTTCTACGATATTTGAGATGCTCGTCCGACCGTTGTCTTGAGTATGACGGAGCGGATTTACAGCTAGAAGGCTTTTGTGATGCAGACTACGCTAGGGATATAGACTCAAGAAGGAGCACGAGCGGCTACATCTTCATCTTAGGTGGTGGAGCGATAAGTTAGAGACTGAAGTTACAGGATACTGTGGCTTTGTCAACAACCGAAGCGGAGTATGTGTCTGCAGCAGAGGCAGCAAAAGAGTTGCTATGGTTGAAAGCTTTTCTTCTTGAGCTTGGGGTAAGTTTTGAGCAATACTTCATCCACTGCGACAGTTAGAGTGTCATTCACTTGTTAGAGAACGACGCATTCTATGTTCGGACCAAGCATGTTGACGTGAAGCACTATGTCATACGAAGATGGCAAAACAAGAACGAGTTCAAGCTTGTGAAGATTGATACGAGGTACAATCCAGCCGACATGCTGACCAAGCCAGTTTCGCTCGAGAAGGTGAGGCTGTGTACAGCCTCATATGATCTCAGTTGAGAACGTTGAGAGTCATGCAAGACGTCAAAGATATAAGACATCCGAATGATGCAACCAAGAATGGTGCGAAGATATGATTGATACCTAATCAAATCTTTAAGTGAGAGATTGTCTGCCAGCAGCCCTTTTTGACAATAAAATATCGGTGGCCGAAATGTTTGATTTTAAAAAAGTGGGCGGGCCCCACAAACCAAAATCAAAGTTTTCGGCACCGAAAGCTGAGGAGTTTGAAATTAATAGGAGGGTGGGTCCCACCCCTAATAATATTTTATTAGTTTATACTATTTTCCAAACACTATAAATAAGGTCACAACTCTTTAGGAAAAACTCATCCAGAAACAACTCTTCTTATAAAAGAGTAAGAGAGAAAACATAAAGAGAGTTTGTGAGAAATCTTAGAGAGTATCTTGATCAAGAGAGGATGTTCTCTTTGAATCTTTTCTTTTGGAGTATAAAGAAATCAGACGTCGTCGTAAGATTGAACCACGTTATATCTGTAAGTACCGTGATTGAATTTGTGTCTGCTTAGGTGTGTTTTTGCGTCCCCGTTTGAGATGTTCTTATTGGTGTGTATACTAACACTAAGAATTATCCATCAATCCCTCTGAGATCGTACAATTAAAAATAATAATAATAATAATCTCCAATCACGATAAAATCAAATGCGAACAAAAGACTTATCACTTACTGCTGAATAGTACAAATAGCCTCCTCAGCCTCCTCCATGGACGGAGCTGATCCAAACAAGCACCGCTCTCTAAACCCGAACCCGAGCCCGCTGCCTCCAAACCCTTCATCCCCAATCACCTCCCAGTCGTCCCCATCAACATAATGAGTCAACGGACCCCTCGTCGACGACGACGAAGAAGACCGAGCCCCTCCCCCCATCGCTGACGATCTCCGCATCATCTCGATCGCTGCTTGATAAAGTTGCCGCCTTTGGGTTCTTCCTTTAAAGCGCTCTGGGTTTTAAAAAGGAGACGATGGTGAGGAGTGACATTGAATTTTGTCTGAAGCTGATGTGGCTGCTGGATATACTTGTATTTTACGGATAATCTCTGTACTAGGCTCTCGCAACTTTCATATTTGTAAATTAGTGTATCAAGTCACTGAAATTTCTATCAAGTCCCCAAATAATATGAGAAGTTTGAAATCAGGCCCTTTGTAACAAAATCCATCTTTGGTTAGCGTTATCCCATGGAAATTACTATGGAAATTACCAAAGCCTAATGCAGCCTCAAGAAGCGGCCACGTGTGAGAACTAGCTGGCCGACTCTCATACATCTGAGAGCATGGTAGAGGTGGGGAGTCAGCTGATCTATTCAGTGACCTAAATCCGAGACGAAAGGCGTATTCGACATGAGATCTTTTTAGGAACTCAAATAAGAGTCAAAAGGCATTCCCCGTTCGGACCCGACATTAAACGTCTTGAACAATGGAATGACTTGTCAAGTTCATCAAAAACTATATTGCATTTAATGCATGGCCAGTCAGCGCCCACACTTCGATGCCCAGTCGCCATCAACATTAATGCAATGTCCGTCATTAATGCGATGACCTCTCGAGCTTGAGCCTTCACAAGCTATAATGCCCCCTTACTTCAGTGGCATTATCATTGTTGCAAAGGGCAACTCGTCTCACCAGTTGCCGACACGTGTAAAACATGATCTGACTCATTACTGAACAAACCCAACCAGATTACTAACATGCCCCCATAAAATCCTCTATAAATAATGGTAACTTTTGTCATAATAAGTACGCAATTTTGCGCACAAAAAAAAATCAACAAGACTGTGCTCTGTTTTTCTTCTTCATGTGAATCAAATCAGTCACTGACTTGAGCATCGAATGGTGCGACGGAGAAAACAACCTCCGGGACCTCTAACCTTTGCTATTTATGTAGGAAATTATAGGTCAAAATTTTCAACAGGAACGATCAGCCATCAGAAGAAGATTAAAGGACCCAAGATCATACTTACCTCTCCTAAACCACACATCAATTGCCCCACATCAACAGTTAAGTTAGTGCTTAACTACGAATGAGCAATTACCAGTACCCTTATTAGCTGAGGCCTTGCCCCCCCCCCCCCCCCCCCCTCTGGTGTTGGTTTTTATCCCTCTCTCTGGCTTCTGGTCCATCTATTAAGAAAGGAATAGGCATCCAACACATAATTTTATATTTGAGGAACATGACAGAGATTTTCAATAATATGAGAGCCAAATCTCAAAATAAAAAATGCTCCAACACTTAATTTTATATTTGAAAAAGAGAAAATACTCTCAAATGTGAAAAATTCAGAAAAAGTGTCTTCAAATTTAGAGGAAAAAATGTTCAGTCCCTCAACAATTTGCCTATAATACTTCTTCGGGTTTTATGTCATGAACTAATCACGCGCACATGAGTGCAAATATTAGCTATAATTAAAATATTATTGTATGGCTTTTTTTCCCATTAAACGGATTCACACTTAAGCTTCTTATCATTATTTTATGAGAGCATTCAAGTAAAGTCTCCAACTAAAAAGCCTCTCCCTGTCTCTTTCTTTGCCATCAAGCGAATCGAAAGGTTGTGGGCCCACCAATCAATTAACTGAGTAATTATTGATTTTTTATGATTCAGATCGATATGCATTATTGATGATTATTTGTGATAAAGAGCTGTATGGACTTTTACAGTAGCGACGTCATAACACCTCTGTACTCCCCCCTTGTGTCTTTGTCTCATGGGCTGCCCTCAGTTGATGAAAGTTCGACGATAATTAATACACATTTCTAAATTCTAATTACAAGATCATGAACATAAAGATATAAAAAAAAAATTAAAGGCACAATTTCAACATTTGTTATTACTAGTTGGATTGCACGTGCAATGCACGTGGTAATTTTTTTTTTTTCTGGGGAAGTTTCGATCTTATTTATAAAGTTTTTGCTGCTGCCGTTTCTGATGCTTTCGCCTTCAAGTGAGTGTGAGCAGATCCACAAAAGCTTATTACACTGCAAACAAGAAACGCCTAAAGCACTCTCATATTTAAATATTATTATTATTATTATATATTATATAATCTTAATAGTTTTGAAACAAAAAACTATTAAGGTTTTTTTTTTAGCCTGCACCTAGATTTTTATCCCAGCATAGAGACAAGTATGAAAATTAAAATCAGTTTTTCTTTCAAAACTATTAAGATTAAGCAGTCACTTCCTCAAATTTTCCTAAAACCAGCTTAATCGTGATTCAAGAAGTATCCACATAAAACTACATACGTGTTTGTGTGCCGTGCGTGCATGTAAAAGATAGAGGAAAAGGGAAGCACATTATATATGTAACTAATCCTCATTTGATAAAAATGTAGATTAATTTGAGCTTCTTTTACATTGCTTCTACTATTTGTATGATGTATAAATTGTTGCCAATAAGGGGAGTGACCTATCCACCTTGGAAAATTTGCTATGCCGAGAGAAAAACAAGGACCACAATGCATGTTTAGACAGCCTGGAACTTGATAATCCAGCCAGCCAAAATACGCCACCTCTAACAACCCTCTCAAGTTTTGCCTGACAGCTGCTACTAATCGCAAAGACCCCTTTTTAGTGTGACTCCATCTTGGGATTTTTCTTAGAGTAGCTATTAGAAGACGCATCAGAAAGCTTTATTCAGAAGACTCACCATGTCTTTTAACATGAACACGCAAGGGGAGAAACTGAGATATTGAGCACATGCTCTTAATCTTTTAGTGATGTCTAAGTAAGTGATCTGGAAACCAAAAAAAGCAACTGCAAGAACTTAAAGAACCAATCTCTCATATTATTTGGGTATCCCATATTATTCACAACATATGCTTAAAATACAAAGTGATAAAACATGAACTGATTTAGAGACTTTTCTAACCTTATCTTTCAGCAAGAAAAACCAAAGGGAAGTTTTTTTTACCAAAAAACAGTGAGTTTATTAGGAAAAACCTCACATCTTGCCTCATCATTCTCCAAAGCTCTCCTACAACTCTATAGGCAGCTCCTTGCCCCCTTAGACCGGAGCTGGCCACAGTTAGATAATCCTGCAACAACCACTTTAATGTCATGTTTCTTATCTTCACCGTTAAACCAATCCTTTGCAATGTGAGGGCCTAGCTGAATCGATGAATGCTTTAGATTGGGCACCTTTCCTCGTAGAAAAGCTCCTGCCAGCAAACAAACATAAACAAAAGGAGAGGTAACCAAAAAACCAAATGGAGTATCTATACATATACAAATTAAGGGTTAAACTAAATTTGCACCTGTAGTGAAGAAATGGAAAAGGTATCAAGATATGCGCTGAATCGATGCAGGCTTCAGATTGGGCACCTCTCATCGTAGAAAAACCCCTGCCAGCAAACAAACATCAACAATAGGAGAGGTAACAAAAAAACCAAATGGAGTATCTATACACATATAAATGAAGGGTTAAACTAAATTTGCATTGATTCAGTGAAAGAATAAATTAAGAGAAGGCCACGGATATTGATATTTTGTGATTATAAAATATCTTGGTTGTCCAATGCTTTAGCAGCCAAGCATTCAGAGAAATAATGCAAGAAGCTAATACTTGGAACTTCATAAAGCATTAAATAATGATTCCAAATAAAGAAATATAGTGGTAATGTAAATTATTCTATCACCATGCAACCATGAGGAAATGTAGTACCTTTGTGTATAATAGTTCATAAAGGTGCTGGTATTTTGCTTCAGTTGTTGCTCTTACCTCAAAAAAAATTTCCTCGTGCTCGTCATGTTGACACTGGTTAAAAGAACAAATAAACGTCAACAACTAATAACTACCAATGAAATATAGCAAGATGCAATAAATCTCAAGTGAAGTATTAAATAAGATAGGAACCATGTAAAATTATATGGGTCACAATGGTTTTTGAGTGCATATGGGGTTGTGTTGATTAGTAGCATGATTTAGAACTTGATGAAGCCTAATAAATGTCAAAATGCAAGTTTCTCAAATTCAGAGGCAAGGAGTTTTATCACTTGGCACAGTAGTTTTCTTTCAAAACCAGAAAATAACAACGCCGATCATAAATGGTCAAGATCTATGAAGTCCTAACCTTATGCCATGGATGAGATTTAATCTTTGAATAGCTAAATCTGTGTAGTTAGTTTTCATGCATCGAATTTCCTCGCGAGTTGGAGTACCAAGAACCTACAAAAATTCCATGAGAATATCTATCATGGACGATTTTGTGTTTTCCCATTAGAATAATCAACATGTGTGCATGAGGCAACCCTCTTTTTTGAAACTCGATGACATGAACATGGGCAGCAACTTTTCCAAAGATTTCCTTTTTAAATAGCTGATCTTTCAGGTCTTGCAATTTTCCTCTAAATATCCTTGAGGTTAGATCCGGTCTATCATTATGTGTCTGTCCTGGATGTAGCTCCTCCGTGATTTCTTCCCATTCAGGATTGCATGTCATTGTGATGAAAATATCTGGTTTGCCAAATCGTTGTACTAATGACATTGCATCAAGATATCTACGACGCATATCTCTAGGACCACCAATAAATGATGATGGCAGCACTATTCTTTTTCCGACTTGACATGCTTTTGCTTCTCCAGCAGCTACACTATCGACTATGCCTTGGAATAACTCTACTCTGATTTCTGATTGTTTCTTTCTAAAATAATCAAGTCTTGTTGTTTCAAGCTTTATGTACTGTTCGCGGTGAAAATTGTAGCTTTCATTGAATTCATTGTCATCTTGAATAACAACTTTTTGAGTTACAAAAGATCCGGTCTTTTTTTAGATCCGGTTACAACGAAATCAAAGAAAAAAAATAAAAATTACAACTTTCTCCTTTTGAACAAATCGCGAGCTCCTGTTTTGCGGT